TCAGCTGTTACAAGAGAGAAGAAAACACTGCTGAAAAGAAAACAGTACTCAAAAATCTTGGCAAAGTTCATTATAGTGAGATTTTAAACACAGCTGACTTGATTCTTTTCTTCGTTACGTAAGAAAGCTCACACGACATCTGCTCAGTATTTTCAACTACCTGCAGACTATTTTAACTGCCCGTTCTCTTGACACACAATAATTAATCCAGTAGTAGTGAGATCCTTCCAACATTAGAGGGATTTTTCATGCCGTGTAGTCTCCATGGTTGTATTATCATGAGTGATAAAACTGCCAAACTGGGATGAAATTATTTACCACTGGCACCATGTGCATCTGTGAAGGCAGGATGCCCAGAGATCATTAACGCATCTCTCAACTGCATTTCCAGTCTTCACATGCCCGATGAGGAGCACTGCTACCCAACCCTAAGCAAACATTCACAGTCTCAACATGTGTATCTCTTAAAATTATAAAACTACAAACCAGTCAATATTTACAATTTTTGTATTGTTACCTTGATAGCAAATGTAAAATTACATATATTTTTCAAACTGATGAAAATCACTCCCGAGGCAAAAAACTAAATTTAAGCAAAAATTGCAAAAGTAAAAGCTGTCGTATTTCAAATAAAAGTTAGCATGAGTGACGTTCTACAATGGTCTTAACGCTATTCTGTGTAGCAATACTAACAAAAATTGAGACAGCAAAGTGCCTGTAGAAGTATATCTAATTGCTTAAAGCTCATTTCAAATTCATTTCCAACTAACAGGCACCACTTTAAGATATCAGCCCATTAAAAATTTCCTGGGAAGATAAACCCAATTCTTCTTCTCAGAGCTAAGCAAGAAGCTTAGTGATCAGTACCCAAATTTCTTCAAGATGCGTCGTCTATTCGTCTGTTCAGTCTTCGGGCAACTCCTACAAGCTGCGGCAGATGCTCTAACCTCCAAAGGCTGCTCCATCCTGGTAGACTTCAGGACAGCCCACTTGTTTCAGAGACATACACACTACTTTGAACCTCTCCACAACAGAAAACAACTTTGCAGATCATTTGAAAGGCTCGGATGGTGAATATAGCGAAGCCTTTTTGCATCCTCAAGTTACAGTGAAGCTTCTTGCCTGTAGATTTGAGGCTAGTGAAAGGAAAACAGGTTAAATTTCCTGCTTGAAGTTTAACAGTAACAGCGGTAAAGAGTTCTCCAGAATAGGTCCTCTAGGACACTATCTAGAGCAAGAGGACTATGTAACATCTTGGGTATCTTCTCTCTTTCCAGCTGTGCTACAGCCAGCATGAAAGCCACCACCATGTCAAGGTGCAGCATAAGGCACATGGCTAGCAGAGTTACCTTCAGCGAAGTGGTTTGAACAGAATCAGATTCAGCTCCCATTAGAGCTCCATCCGGGAACACCACAGGAAACCTAATCAAGCCCAGCACAGAATCACAGAATAGTAGGGGTTGGAAGGGACCTCTGTGGGTCATCTAGTCCAACCCTCCTGCCGAAGCAGGGTCACC